CTCTGGGTGTTGCGCCGGTGGCGGTGGGCTTCGGCCGGGGCGCCGCGTGGCGGGGGGTGTGGAATCTTCTGGGGTTTTTCGGTTGTGGTGTTACAGCGTCTGGGTGTTGCGCCGGTGGCGGTGGCCTGCGGCGGGCGCTACGGCGGCCCGCGGGTGGGAAAAACATGCCGAGCGGGCTTTCTCGGCGTGCCGGAGGATGAGAAAACTCTGCTGGAAGCGGTATTTCCTCTGACAACACTAAAAGACACCCGCTATTTAAATTACCTTCAAAGCGCTGCCCAGAAAGTTCTGAGGAGTCTTTGCGTGCGCTGTGTCTGGAGTTTTAACTTCTGCTTGTTTCAAGACAGATGCTGTTTGCAGCGGTTACCTTGTCGGGCCGTCCCGGACGTTTAGCAGCGCCAAGGGGATGTTGGTGCTGTACAGTGGTTCGTAGGCATGATGTGGACATCCCTCTTTATCTGGGGGTCGGGGCGTACGGGGCAGGGAGAGGGGGAGCCTTAGAAACAGGTGTATAAAAGAGTAATTCTCGATTCTCCTAACGTATGGTGATCTTTTTGAAAAGATGCTGTGACCTGCTGTCACCCCGCTGTGTCGGGCAAATAAACGTTTCCTAGTGTCCGTGTTAGACCTTGAAATTGGAATTGCTGTACGGTCTTTAAAAGTCGCTTGCCCCTCTCGGTGTTTCTCTGGTTAATTAGTAGTTGGTGTTCTCAAGCCTGTCAGCACACCTACAACTTTCAGTCCGGTCAGGCTCAGTCAGGAGTAACAGCTCGCGTTGCCGGTTGGTGTAAGCTGGAGCAGTCCAGAGAGCGTTGCCGTGATACTTTTCTGCTTCAGAGCAAAGTTACTTTGCTTTTGACACTGCACGTATTAAATTCTGGGGGCTGAAAGCCGCAGTCTGTGCGTAGGGGCAGCGTGGAGGATTTCGGTTCCCTCTGTAGAGCTGGGCAGTGGATTTTGGCTTTGTGTAGAAGTTGGATGAACTCACCTGCGCAGGGGATGGTGGAGATGAATATTTACGTGGCAGCAGGTGGTGGGGAAGAAAGTGTATTGTTTTGTGGATAACTTACATGAAATTGATGTTGTGTAAACGCAGGTTGGGTGCTGCTGTATGTCATTTGGCCCTCCTACGTACTTCAGAGCCAGAGTTACTCACGTTGGTACACAGAGTGACGATTAGATTGTCAGACTTCAGTGTGGGAAGGAGCACTGACTCCTGCAGCAGTTGTAACACCTGATCTGCTCCTGAGCGAAGAGGGCAGACGTACCCAGCTCACCGAGCCGATGTTGTTCTTGTGCTACGTTTTGACCACGGGATCACAACTTAATACACAAAGCGGCAACATCAGAAATCCCAATACCAGAATACCTGACCCTGGAAATCCCATTAAATTTCTTTTATTTGGTTTTGTGGCTTCAGTGGGAGAAGGTCTGTTGGGTGGTGGAGTGTTTTAAATAAAACCTGAACAGCTGGACAAGCTTAATAAGATTACTTCAAAACTTAGAGTATAGTCAAGTTGGAGCATGCAGTTGTATCTATCAGCTGGATTAAAGCCTTCGTGAAGTATAGATGATGCGCTCTCTATAAGCTATGTGTTTAAACTTTCTACATAATCTGCTTTCCAGATCTCACAGGCCAGGCTGAATTCACTATTGCCTGTTATAGCAGTTAACTTCTTTTGGTGCCTTTCCAGGAGCTGACTAGTAATGATTATCTTCTAACTGAAATAGCATTAAAGGTAACTTTTCCACTCTTTTCTAGTGAAACGCGATGTCCAGGAAAATGATGAAGAAGCGGTGCAAGTCAAAGAGCAGAGCATCCTGGAACTGGGGTCGCTCTTGGCCAAGACTGGGCAGGCAGAAGGTGAGCCTGAAATAAGTAACTGAGGTATCGGGTAAGGTACACTCAAATGAATCTAGCCTCCTTATTTAATGGAATAGGAGTAAAAGCAGATTTTGGCAGGAAATGTTCTCTCAGAGACAGGACAGAAACTAAAAAACTAGATAACATAAAATATTAATCTCGTGTTATTTAGCCCAATATTCCAAAAGATTGCTGATGCATTGGATGGTTTAGTTTATGACCCTTTGACCTGTAGCCATTTTAGTACGAGTGACTAAAGTTTTGTTAAGTTGTCATGTTTGAGATGAGAAGTTCCTCTTGTTTCGTTTTTAATAATCTCAGAGCCTTGTTTCAAATTGGAAAGCTTGTCCCAAAAAGTCCTTCCTCACCAGCAGCTTCTTTCTCAATTAATTGATTTATCTGCTGAAACGTTGCATCAGAAAGTCCTTGCCCAGCTCCTCACAAGAGCAAGACTTGACAGTCCTTCTATTGTGAACGTGTGAAAGGACAGAAGTGGAGTAAAGTTCTCTATTCAATGATTTTTGAGCTGAATCTGTTCACGTCTTCTGTTTCCTGGAAAGCTCAAGGCAGTGTGTTTGTTAAGTTTGTGCTCAGCAGTTTAGTTTTGTTTCTTTCGCTGAAGAATGCTTTTGCCTTTTCTGGAGCACCTTTCACCTCAAGCATTTTAGGAGCTGATACACCACGTCCGTACAAAGAGCGTTCTGTCCGTGGCAGACAGTTGGCCATGGTATAGCCCTGATGTTTTCGAAGTGTGCACAACAATAATTCAGAATGTGAAGTGAAGCATGTGTGCTTTTAACAGTCTGAAACTGGTTGGGGAAAACAGGCCAGCAGAAGGTTTAATCAAACTGAAATTCGACTGACCTAATGTTAGAGTAGTTCATGGAAAGCGGTATGAGGTCTCGGATAGCAGCTGATCAAGGTCACAGCTTTATATTTATTCTGAAACGCACACTTGGTGTCCTACTGTCCTGTCTTTGTCAACATCTATTTTGACTTGGCCGTTTAAGTGATCTGCCCGTGTCGATGTGTTTGAGCATTCTGGACACTGATCCCACTGTGATTTGCAATTGAACAGGGCTTGTGACAAAGTAGATTACTTGCACTTAGAGCAGTGCTAGAAACAAAGGTGCTATTCATCTCACCTAACTATAGATGTCCATGTCTGATTTCCTAGTGTGGACTGCTTTTATAGTTAGTGGAGAAAAATAAGTCCTTCCAGCACACGATTCATCTCTTCCTGCAGTAAGAATTTGGAGCAGGACAAATGAAGCCTGCTGTACAAGTGCCCGTTTCTCTAATTGAATATTAAAGGACCTCAAGTCAATTTACTCAGGTATAGGTGTCTGTGCTGTACGGGTGCCCTTTGCACTCTGATGTTTGCTTCTGTAGAGATAACTAAACATGGCTTTGCTCCTGCACCAAGGAAGATGTGTGTGTTTGGGCTAAAAAAAGGGGAAATCGTCAGAAGAGTCTCTTCAAGTAAATGTGTGGATGTGCTGCTGGTGTGCCCTAAGCCTGAGAGAAGAGTTGTTAGGTGCATGATGGCCTCCTTACCGCTGCAGAACTTGGAGTAGTTTTGAGTTTAAGCTGAAGTCTTACACGAGTATAAAGAACTTCAGTGTATTCTCAGAAGGGTGGCTAGCTAATAGATTCTTTTAAGGGGAGGGCTAAGTAATTGAAAATGGCAATGTTAACTCATCAAAACCAGGTTTATGAAGGAGCAAATGTGCAATGTATTTGAAATGTATTAAAGGGAACACTAAACTGCAGAGCAGCTATATTCTGAATAGCAGAAAATAAATTTGGCAACATTAAGAAGCCAGTTGTGGATGTGTAGATCGGAGTGAGATCACCAGGTTGTGCTGTCTGGAGATTTGTGATGAAGCTGGGGGATGAAAAAGGGGATACCACAGCTTAGAGATGTGCTAGTCCTGTGGGAAAGACACTGTCGCCTTCCCTTTCTATCTGCTTTCTAGGGTGAAGTAGGCTAGTAGGAGTGACAAGCAGTCAGGGTCAGCAGCATCTTCACCAGGTGCAACTGTTCACAAAGGTGCTAGCACCAGGCAGACACGCAGATCTTCACATCCAAGGGGAGTGAATCCAGCGCTGCTAAACCTAACGAGGAAATTACTGAGACCGTGCGGTTTCTGGCCCGAATGAAATGGATCTCACCATTGTAGCTTTTGCTGCATGCATTTTCGTTTTAGCTAGCGGAAGTTCTTTGTCAGGTTCTAGGTGTTGCAGTGGCTCGTTGGCTACTTTCAGGTGATAACTTCCCAGAGATGAAAAGGTCTGTGAGCTGCGGCCTAGGGAAGAAATCAGCTGCAGCTTGGTGGGATTTGAAAGTTACAACTGCTGTGCTGCTGACTGGCTGAGAGTGTAAAATGAATCTGTAGTTTATTTAGAGGACTAACCTCTAGTGAGCTACGGCCTTTGTTTAAAAAATTAACTATACAAATGGCCCTCTTTATCTGCATGATAGAGATTAAGGATTGAACTGGTAAATTAATTATTTTTTTTTTAGGGCAGTTCTAGATTATTATAGTTGGAATAACTTGGATCAGGTATTTGGGTACATGGCATGTTAGCTTGTGAAGTACGTTCTCTGAGGATGAGCAGCAGACTTCATTTTCCAGAGCTGCCGCTCATCACTTCTCTAGAGCTGTCAATCACACCATTACCAAGCATTGCATTTACTTAAAAAAAAAAAGCTAAAAATAGTTGACAGTTACATTGGTAAGAAAGAGATATTTCTATGGGAACTTTGAGCTTGCATGTCTAAATGCGTAGTTTGCAAAATGTAGGGATATTCTAGCTGTTAACTTTGAATCTGCTTTCTAGTGAATTCTTGAGCAGCTGTTGAGCAAGTCCATGGAAGCTAAGTACTGCAGTATGTTTCATGTGATTTTTTTCCTTTCTTGTCTTCTAAAGTTCCTTTTCCATGTGGAAGAGTGTGTTGTGCACTAAAAACGTGATTCAGTTGGTCCCGAGAAGCAGCGATGCACAGTATGAAGCACCTTGTACTTCAGAGTTGATGGATCTCAGAGAGAGTCTCTCTGCCTTGATAAGACAGAATGAAAGACTGGCAAATTCTTAGTTACAGAGCTCAAAGCTAAGGATACGGTGCTGTGACCTGATGAGAAGCAGGCTTGTTCCCTGTGTTAAGTGCGGTGTTTTCAAGTGCTTGTGTTAGTTGCATCAGGGAAGAGCACAAGAACCAGCTTCTGGGCAACCCCAGCTTTAGTGCTGCTTCTCTTCCGAGCCCAACAGGGTGATCGGGAGCCTGCCTTTCTCGGCTCGCATCGAGAGGAGGGATGCTTGAGAGTAGCTCTGCGCAAAACTGATTTGTTGGAAGCAGCTGTCTGCTGCTGTCATGGTAGTTTGTTTACTGTATGTGAAACCAAAGTGTTTGACTTTGATTAGAATGATTGGGATTTGCATCTGTGAGTGGTGTTGCAGATTGAGTGGTCCTCAGAACAAAGGCACTGCTGCTGTCATGGTAGTTTGTTTACTGTGTGTGAAACCAAAGTGTTTGATTAGAGTGATTGGGATTTGCATCCGTGAGTGGTGTTGCAGACTGAGTGGTCCTCAGAATGAAGGCGGTGTGGGTAAAGTCATCGTCTGCCACGGGGCAGTAGGTAACAGTTTGAGTAGAAGCTGAGCGCTGATTGAAACTGTCAGTCAGCGGGGCTCAATCTTAGCTATTGAAGTGGCTGTACCTCAATTCTAGAAAAACCTGCCCATTTATTCTCAGGCAGAGAGAAGGTAAAACTTTTACGAAACCTTAAGCGCGCCAGTCATAGCATCTTGTGTTGCTCCCCGTACAAAGTCCGAGTGGTTCATTGTAGAAGGCATCACGATTTGTTGCACTGCTGTTTGGAAAATAAGGCTTCTCTAAGGATTCAGAGATAAGTTTCTAAGGACTCTGAGATAAGTTTCATTTGTTCTAAAACTGTGCTTTCAGATGTGTGTCAGTACATCACCATGAGCAATTGGATTGGAACACACTGAGTTCTACTTCTTAACAGTGTAAGAAACGAGTTGTATCAGGCTTGATTATTTAAAATAAATACGTTGAAAAAGTAAAAAATATAAGGAATAATTTTTAGATATTATTAAGATGTTCTTATAACAATTCTTTTGCATTACTGCTAAATGAAATATGAAAGAAACATTGTTTTCAACTGTTTTTATTGGAATCCTCCCAAACTGAAGTGCTGCTGATGCTCCTCCGTATACTAATTGAAATAAAATTAGATTAGTCTCTTATTTTAGTTTTGATTTCGGTACCAGTTTGGTGTAGAGTATATTGAAGATTTCTGAAATACTCATTACAGGTCTTGTTTTGTTTTTTTTACTATCAAATCTTGTAAACATGGTGGTGCAAGATCTAGCTGATGTTTGGGTAAGACTTAAATTTCTGGGGCGAATAAGCTGTGATTTCAGTGTACCCACTACTTCGAGTCAGCACTGAACCCTGCGCTGGTGTGGTGCTAGTCTGCTGGAAGTATCATCTTCCCCCGACTGTAAACAGACATCACTGCGACCTGGCCCGACGGCCGTGTGCTGTTTATCGCCGGAGGAGACTTCTAACTTGTGCTGTGCAATTCCAACACCTAACTCCCTTCTGCTTCCGCGGACGCCGAGTCCTGAAATTGCTGACGTTGACTGCTGCATTCCTCTGCTCTGTAGGAATGACGTTTTTAATGTATTTCTTCATAAAGAAAGACTTTTCCTTTATGAGCTTGAGACTAGCTTTATAACTGTAAACTAGTAAGGAGACTAGTAGAAACAGAAATCTGGTTAAGTAAGGTAAGATCTAATTAGGTAATGTGGGTAGTCATGTTAAGAAATGTAATTTTTTCATCACTGGAGCGCGGGGTGTATCTGACTTTCTAGGGCTGGCTAGGTATGGCAGATTAAGACGTCAAACTGTGAGTTAATAAAAACATACTTAAACTATGAACTCCATTGCCCATTTTATAGAAAAATCTCAAAGCATTTAGCAGATGCTTACATTTTTAAAACGTGCCTGAGGCAAGTGTAGTTACAAATGGTGTTATAATTGGGCGAAGTGAAGTAACGGGAAACGTATGCTGTGCGGGTAAGACTGGAGCCCAACGGTCACCTCTGCCAGTCCCCGTGTTTACTGCGAGGCGTTCCTTCAGGTGACGTTTGTCGCTCTTTTCCTGTAAATGATGTTGAGAGACTGCTTATAAAATGTTTGGTGTAATAAATACTGCCGTGTATAGATGTGTCAGGTACTCCAGCTGCGGTGTAACTTTTGGCTGTGTGGTTGTATTTCATGATTTGTTTTTTCTTGTATGCAGAGCTGGGAGGACTTCTGAAGTATGTTCGACCTTTCTTGAACTCCATCAGCAAAGCAAAGGCAGCCCGCTTAGTCCGATCTCTGCTCGATCTGTTCCTTGATATGGAGGCAGCAACAGGACAGGAGGTAAGATTTGCATTTCAGCGCTAGTGCGTTCCTCAAAGGCCTGTAACACCATTATCTGACCTACTTTGCTTCACACTGAAGAATTATTCATGTCAGGAAACATTAATTTAATGCATTTGGAGATATTCTATTAATAAAACATTAGATAACTTAATTCACTCATAACCATGCTTTCCTGCAAGCCTCATCCTGCTGCAGGTTAGGAGTAACTCTCACCCTAGGCATTTTTCTTAGATTTGCGTTGCTTGCTGTTAGATACACGGCATTAGTAGTATTTTGTAGTGCCATTAGTGTTTGGGATATGAGAGGGGAGAGGTGCTACACCTGTTCAGGGAGCTCGGTCTAGGGGAAAGGTGGGGGCAGTGTGTGATGGCACAGAGCTAGAGGAGGGAGTGTTCAAGGTCTGTTCAGGAGTTGGTGGGATTAGATGGTGAGTATTACTTAGCATCTTTCAACTGGAGACATGAAGGTGCATTGCCTGGGGACACAGTGCGGTGGGCGTCTTACTCTACAGAGGGCTTCTGAGGTGTGAAAGTTACTCCTGAAGTGGGAATGGAAAAAGTTTTGCAGCTACCAAGTGTAAACTACTTCCAGTGGATGAAATTCTCCACTAGAAAACCCATTTGGTCTAAGGTAGTCCCCAGTTAGGATTTAATCCATTCTCATTAGCTCCCTAGATGACAGTTTTTTCATTTTTTTTTTTTTTTCTTTTGTCCATGTGACTTGTTGGTTATTTGGGAATGGGAGAAGGTCAGGAGCAACTTGTAAGTGGCTCCTCATCACTTACATTTACAAGCGGCGCTGACCTGCAGTAGTACAGGTTGTCCTGGCACACCAAAGCAGTTAGATGGAGAGGGGAGAAAGGGAGGGTCTGAGCAACAGGTTAAGGACAAAGCCCACGTAACACCGTATGCACAGCAACTGGCAAATTACAGCCTAGAAGAGGTTCTGCCATGTTGAGAGGCCAGTGGCATTCTCGTTAGCCAAATTAGTGCAGAAGTATCATCCTTTAGTCCAGGTGACCTAGCAAATGTTCTTCGTTTGCTGTTCAGTTCTTGTGGCTCACATGTCATGTTACTGTAAACAGTGATGGACGGAATCTTTTGCCCCTCTTCTTTAACAGAAGAGATTAAGGGAAGCGGGGTGAGATGTGCAGGTGAGAAGGGAACCCCTGAAGGGTTCAGGAGAAAATGAGCGGCTTGACTTTTTCTAAAGGTAACTTGATGTAAATGATGGTATTTGGATGCAATCCCAAAAGGTGGCATTTTACGGCAGGGGAAGAACTTGGAGTAACAGCAATGGAAATATGGCCCAGTTAGTAAAAACACTCACTTTCAAGCATATTCAGAAGCCAAACCCAAAACCTTAAGGAATTATAACACCTAACCTGTGAGGTTCTTGATGCAGTAATCCTGAATACTTTCAGTGCCTCAGAAATGTTGAGAGGGACATTTGCTTCCTCGGTGTAACGTATATTAAGACGACTCCCAGGAGTCCAGTAAAGCAGTGAAATTAGAGATTTCTCCAGCTCGTAATGCTCCAGCTATCACTGTGCAATAAATTGCGACTTCATAATGGCTTTTCATAAAATGTCTCCGTTTAATAAGCAGTGACAAGGAGCCGACAAGTCCTGCAGCGTAGTACAGCTACAGACCTGCTCCCAAAAGAGCTGTGATCCAGAGATTTTGGGAAAAGGCGTTCCTGAGCCTAGCACCTCAGGATGACTTACTGTATATTATTGGTCAGTACTAAATCTAAATCGACACCCTCTTCTAATTGGGGTGGAACATGACTGCTTTATTCATCAAAGGAATCTCAGCAGTCTTGAAAATATGAGAAGCCATTGGGTTCCTTTACTCCGCTTTGAAGCGATAGATAAAACATCCAGTGTCACTTACTGACTGGCTCCTGGCACCTAACCCTGTTGTAAATAGCGGAGGGAATCATCTCTGTTGCTTTATACTACTAAAGGACACACGTGGTCTGACATATGGCTGGAAAGCTGCCTGGCGGAAAAGGACCTGGGGGTGTTGGTCGACAGCCGGCTGACCATGAGCCGGCAGTGTGCCCAGGCGGCCAAGAAGGCCAATGGCATCCTGGCCACTATCAGAAATAGTGTGACCAGCAGGAGTAGGGAAGTGATCGTGCCCCTGTACTCGGCACTGGTGAGGCCGCACCTCGAATACTGTGTTCAGTTTTGGGCCCCTCACTACAAGAAGGACGTCGAGGTGCTGGAGCACGTCCAGAGAAGGGCAACGAGGCTGGTGAGGGGTCTGGAGAACAAGTCT